GACGTATGGTAACCCTAATGGAGAGTCTCATTTAAAAAGTGATTTTACCATACACCAGTTCTTTACATGCATGTAAATGTCATATACTGCACATTACTTTTTCAAAAAGCCCCTTGAGTCAGTGATGTCTAAATTGCTATGAAAGAAATATTTAAGGAGGAGTTCCCTCCCTGCTCTGCACATAATATATAAAATGCACATACAGTCTAAACTTATTTCTATGATTTGACTATTGTACACCCAAATACAGCACTCCTCTGCTCCTAATCCCCTCTATTTCTGAGAGGCACTCCAACCTCTGTTAATCTACAAGGATATAGTAGCTACTATCCTGCATTTTTTGCAGGATTCAAGCACCTGACGTTGATCAAAAGGAGCCCTGTGGATTTCACAGAGCACAACCCCTCCCAATTGCATCACACAGTGTGGCAACCACAAAAATCGCCTATTTGGAACAGTAGTAATAGGAAAGTTTTTAATGTGTTTTTAGCTGCCTTTTAATGCAATTCAGGAAACGAAAATACAGAAGGGAACCAGCACCATGTGATCAGCCAGCTCTCCATAGACCACCATTTGAGAACTTCTGATCTAAATCATTTTTATTTGAGCCTCTTTGAACAGTAATAATTGTTGCACTTCACCAGAAAAGCACAGAAAGTACGAATAAGATTGTGTTAGCCTCAATCTACTTCTACTTAATACATAAAATTACTATTGCTCATGTTTTCTCTACAGACACAGGCACATAAACATTAATACTACTAAGCATATCTTACGCAAAAATTGCAAACATGACTATTTACACTTTTTTTTTAAAACACAACAACATATTCCAAATTTGGTCTTCAAGTATGCGACTTTTGAACATTAATTCTTAGTCATCTCTCTAATCTTGACACTTCCGGCAGCAAGTGTTGATAAACTTCCTCTTTCTATGCAAAAAAACTTTCCACGTGAGAACAGCGGACCCTTTTAGAGCTCTTTAATGTGCAACACCCATTCTGACTGCTTTAGTTTTGAAACTGCAAAATGTTAACTTAGTATGTGAAGCCTGTTTAATACAAGAGACATTATTGTACAGGTAAGTAACAGTTTTCATATGCTAAGATTTAACTGCTTTGGCTACCTAGTTGTTGATGTGACATTAAATAACTTGTATTTTGCAACTTGATGGTGTAAAATATTTTGTAATGAATTTATAACTCGTGTACGGTATTCTGTTTTAGAAAATGGTTTTCTTCAATGTGTTATTGTTCTGAAGATCTCTCCGTACTGTTCAAATATTGCTATTAGAACCAATAATTCTCAAAACCAAGTTCAAAGTCTAATCAACAGTTAATTTTAGATTACCTGGAATTTCCCCTGTGAATTTTTATGTTAACAGCTGTGAAAATTTTTATCAGTATCTTACTGAGCTCTGATGAAGTCCACATGTAGAGAAGGAGAGCAGAGTAAGCACAAATGAGTGAAATATTTTTACCTGTTGCAAGT